GGGCGCTGGAGGTTCCCCATTCTCCTCCCGCTGCCCCAGCACCAGGGGCTGTTTCCATTGCTGCACTGTGCGCTTCCCTCACTTTCCGGCAAAGGAAAGCACTCCATCCGGGCTCGGTTTCCCCCAGCGTTCAACACCTTTGTGCAAACGGGTCCGTAAGCAAAGGTTGGGCGCAGATGATTAAGGGCAAAGATGGGTTCAGCGCCTGCCCTCCCGCCACAACATCCTTCTCTCCATCGCAGCATCGTGTCCTTGGGGCGAGGCTACGTCCCCCCACCCAGCAGGGGACCCTCACCCCCACCCCCATTCCTATATATCCTATAATCCTGTATATTTGCGTATGTATGTCTGAGTTCACACGTGTCACAGGTGCCCGTGCCCCCACCAAGCTGCTGGAAGCGCTGGGGAAGTGGTGGGCAGAGACCGGAGCCTGCGGCGGCGCAGAGCAAATCGCATCAGATGGCAGCGTGGAGTCACTTAAACGAGATAAGAATTAGTGCGCGGCCCTGATGAACTCCCCCTCGGCTGCCAGCAGCGGTGTCAGGGAGAGAGCGAGAGCAGAGCCGGGGCTAATTTGATTTCTCGGCTCCGTTAGCGGCTAGCGAGTCACCTCCCGGGGAGCGCAGGCAGCTCGGAGCTCTTTCCCCTTATTGAATCTGGGTAATGAAAATCACGGGCAGCGCCGCCACGGCGCTGGGGACCGTGCCCCGCTCTGCCCCCTCTGCCCCGGCCCCCGCATCCGCGGCGGGCAGGATGCGGCCGAGGGGGCGAGGAGCGCTCAAGCGGAGCCTCTGCTGCAGCATCATTAACTCTGAATTTTCTCCCTCGGGTTTTACGTCTTCATCTTAAAGAGATTTTAATGTAGTTCCTATCAGCCCTCCTGTTATCGGATATCTAATTAGCGTGATCTATTATAGCCTCGTATTACGCACACGCACAGGGGGTTCTTGCGGGACTTTTTGTGGGACGGCTGATATCAATCGGCAGCACCCGGATCAGATTTACTTTCCGAAATGGCGTAATGGGATTTTATTAGCCCTGTAATCTGCTGCGCAGTAATTGCTTTTCTGGGAATCGAAGCGCTTGGCGTCTGGGGCTTCCCGTGGCTCAGCCCCGCACCCTGCCCAGGCTCTGCCGCAGCAGTAACATCTCTGCGCTGTGCTGGGGACCTTCCCTGAGGCCAGACGTAGCCACGGGGCTTACGGAGGAGCCGCATGTCCCTCAGCACCTGGGACGCGGCAGGCAGCGACGGCCAGCAGAGCCCCAGTCCCCATTTGTGTGCGTCCCATTGGCTCCTGGAACAAACGTTCTGCCTTTCCATATCAGCTAAGGGCTTTTTCCCACGGCAGCGTCGCTGAGAGCAGGTACTTTGGCTGGGCACAAGTAGGGAACTTCAGCCAGTGCTTAGCCAGGAGCAACGGTGATCTCAGAGGCTGGGGAGAGCGCAGGAGCGCGGGCACAAAATCCGTGCGATGCGATGGGATGATTCTCAGCATCCCCCTCCATGAAGGGACCAGTGATGCTCAGCATCCCTCCTCGCCCCAACCTGCCCTTCCCGGGAAGGCAACCAAGCCCCGCGCGGGTGTTATTTCCACAGCACCGTCAGCCTCAGCAGCGCCCGCCCCCATG